TCTCTCTCTCTCTCTCTCTCTTGCCCATAGCATATTACAATATATTTTGTCAATTTTTAAATAAATTGTGTTAAAATTGAAAAATTGTGTCAAATATAATCACCAACACTTAATTGAGAAAACTTCAGTATATATTATTTTGAAGTTATGAATTACTAATTTTTAATATATATAATTTTATCATGCATATTCATATAATATTTTCTAAAAATACCTATTTGATAGGTGAATATTTGAAGACATAGTATCTAGTTGATTACCAAAATAATAAGAAATTTCAGTGAGTCATAATTAATACGAAGAATCGAATTTTTATTGTGACAATTATGGCAAATTAATTTTTAAAATATATACCACTTTATTTATATATAAAATCGTGCTACTAACAGAATTGCACGATTTACAACATCCGTATAATTAAATTTTCATTTTTTTATAAATATTAAATTATTTTTTACAAATATTTCCTTAATATAAGGCAACTCATTTAATTACAAAATCAAAATTACTATTTTATATTATTCCATCAACATCTTTCAATAACAATAGTTGTCACGAAAAAAAAAAAGGGTGGGACTAGCCACATCACATAAATAACGTTAGTTTTAGTATAATACTAAGAGCACCCACAATGCTTTGGGTCTCTTAGAAAAAAATCATATGCCATGTAGGAAATAGCTTAGTCTATAAAAAAATATTTCACAATGCAATTAAAAGTGGACCTAGGGGGCGTATTCAATTAGAACTTTTAGTGACTTTTTAAAAATTTTTAAAGTAGATGACTTTTGTGGACTTTATGCAACTTTTAATTACTTATGTGGATTTTGTGAGATTGTTATGGAGACTTTTTAAGACTTTCAGTATGAACTTTTTGAGACTTTCGAAGACTTTTATATTGTTCTTAATATAATAATAAATTTGTATGAAATGTTCATAAAAAATTATGTGCATAATAACTAGTATCTATAAAGTCAAATCAACAATTAAAAAACTATAAAATTAATTTAAAATGTGTTATTATATTAAGTACTATCCACAACAAGAAAAAGGCAAGAGAAAAAAAAATTACGACAAACGAACTCGTTAAGATAAAAAAAAAATATTACGACACGTGATCTCAGCCAAAGCCCGAGCTATGTCGCATAAGCTTGACATATTTATCGTATTGCTTCTTAAACCATTTTACACGACTTTTATATTGAGCATACGTGTTCACAGTTCCAAGCTTTGCATTAAAAGGGGGCAATATATGTTCCTCTACAGTTACTTTGCTCAAATTTTCAGACTTATCATGCCATCCGCGATTGGCTCCATCAACTATGAGTCTAAGAAATTCGTTACTCTCTTCAGATGTCTATTTTTCGTATCCTGAACAATTTCATTCCCCTGTGATGAATCTACCATTGCTACAATACTTAAATTTACAAACACGTAAAAAAATGTTTCTAATAATATATTCTTGTAACTTATTAATATGAGTTAATTACACATATGAACTAAAGCAGTAACAAATGAATATAAACATCAGTAGGACCATTTTATCTTTACGAATGGAACTAGGAATTCATTGTAGGCTAGTGCAGAGTTCACAACACTTGAGGCAAACGACCTATTGAAAAGCACTCCCACTAACTCGAAGAGATAGATTAACGCAACTCATATATATAAAAAATTTACCGTAGAGCGAAAAAGGTATGAGAGTACCTTTTGTAACAAGAGAAAGAAGACTTCACGCTCAACAAAAATCTCACAACTTTGGTGAGATTTTCACAAGGATTGTGCCTTTATATTTTGATTAAAAAAGTCTTCAAGAATCTTTTCCTTTCAAAAGTCTTTTAAAATCTTTCTAAATTGAATAACAAGAAACTTATAAAGACTCTTAAAAAGTTTTAATTGAATACATGTAAACTTTTGGAGAGTCTCAAAAAGTTTTAATTGAATACACTAATATTTTGAAAGTCTTCAAAAGTCACTAAAAGTCCTAATTGAATAAGTCTAACTTATGTGACTCTTGAAAAGTTCTTAGAGCATCTGCAATGCTTTAGGTCTAGTTTTGTATATGTGGAATGTATATGAACCTAAGTCTTGGATGACATGGACAAAAATATATAAAATTAACAAAATCTATTCAAATGCAAGGAGACTAGGTCTCTACTTAGGTCTAAATTGGACTTAAGGTTAGACCGGGTCTCTTTTCTTACTGCCACATCAGCAAGACCTAGTCTACTTACACTTGCATTGTAGAACATACTTTTTTAGACCGAGTCTATTTCCAAGGTGGCATTCAAATTTTTTTGATTGAACCTAATGCATTGTGGATGCTCTAAGTCCACACTTGGGTCTATTTTAGACCCAAGTTCAAACCCACCTAGTCATTAATTGTTCATAATTTTCTTTTTTCTTTTTAATAGGCAAAACACATTTTTTTTGAATGCATTTATTATTACTATATTTTTAATGGTTGTTTAGTATTCTAGACTTAGTACTTTTTTATTTTGCATTGGATAGATTTTGAATTTTTTAGCTTGAGTTTGTCCATGTCATTATGGACTTAAGTCTATTTATTTGTTACATATACAAAAAGAGACCCAAAGCATTGTGGGTGCTCTAATATTTTTACGTAAAAAGTTAACATAAGACTATAAGAGTGTGAGTTATTTATTTTAAAATTGATATTACATATAAAACCACATAATCAGGTCATGTGTGTACTATGTCAAATTTTATAATTCATTATATTTGTTTAGCGTGATCCCTAATTATATATATAACTAGTACAACGTCTGTGTATTACACGAGTGCTTGTTAATTTTTTATTTAAAATCTAAAATTAATAAGAAAAAAATAGTTGAAAATTTAAAACCTTTTATAGAAATATATATATATTATTATATATTAAGTATGAAACTTTTTATTTGTGCGACTTACCTGTATTATATTATAATAATTTTTTATAACTTACAATATATAACTACAGTAAACATATATATATCAATTGAGAAATAATTTTATTTTTCTAATGAATTTTAATAAATATTATTATTTTTTTATTATAAAGATAAATATAATTTATTTATTTAATATATACAATGTAGATGTCAAATCGAACATCGTCAAAAGGTGATTAATTTGATATATTATATATGTAAAACCGATAAGAAATACAAAGTTATCAATTTTTTAATAAATTTACAATTCAATAGTTAATTGAATGAAACAAATCAAAAGTTAGGGATATATTAGACACTTAGTGCCTCACTATGCAAAATTAGTACAAATGATATTAAAATACCTAAATTAGCTAAATAATATTTATGGAATGTCCTAACATAGATTATTAATTATTATTATATCAATATTATTTGTTCAAACCTAATTACGAAGCATGATTCTTTGTCAAGTAGGATTCCGAAGCACCAGAAGCAGCCACGTAAACTCAGCGTATTCGAGAATTATATATAAGGGGATTATGCATACAATTAAATTATCCTTAAAAAATTACTCCATTAATAGTTCATTGTAATCTCTATTTTTTCCTCAATGATATCAACATAATTTTTAAATTTAATATAAAATTTAAATTTAAAATCAACAATTATTATATATGTTTTGATATTCATTTAATTATAAAAACATATATAATTTTATATTTGCCTATTACAATGTTACTATTTTCCCATCCCATTAAATAATTATTAAAATAACAACACATTATATCATAAAAATTATAAAAATAAATAACTCAAAATGAAGATTATATCCAACCTAACAAACTACGAAAAACGAAGTCCGACGCCAAAATCCACCACTTTCCGATAAAAAAATCAGCTAATTGGCCGCCATGAGCGCCGCCGCCTTGATTCCAACAACCAACGCCGCCGCATCACGAATTCCCTCATTCCCCACCGCTCAAACCCGTAGAAAATCTCCGGTTTCCGTCATGAATTCACTTTTAACCGAGGCGGCGGGGGACCAGGCGGCGACGGAGGCGGAATCCGCCCCCCGCCGCCTCATTTTGCTACGCCACGCCAAGAGCTCCTGGAAAAACCGTTCCCTCAAAGGTACTCATATTTTTTTTTTTATTTTTTTTTACTTGACGCATTAAAACTGGCGAAAGTTTACGTTTTTAGGTCTGGAGTGTATGTAATTGGCAATTGCTGTTAACTGTTGATGATTGAAGACTGATTATGAGCTGCAATTACCCATTGGGATTCTCAAAACATTATTAATCTCATCTGATTGTAGATTCAACTGTGTATATCTTGCATTTACATTGAGATGATTGCATAAAGTTTCGATTTTTTCGTGTCTTACCGAGACCAGATCACGATCGGCCTCTGAGTAAATCCGGACGAGCTGATGCTGTGAAGCTCTCGAAGAAACTCGACAAGTTGGGTTGGGTTCCTCAGCTCATATTATCCAGGTGGGAGTGACCTCTCAAATTTAGTGTAGTTGATTTAGAAAAGAGGAAGGAAAAAAAGAAAAAGGGAAATTCAAGAATTTAATTATGTATTCAGTTTGTTGCTGTAGTGATGCGCTGAGAACACGTGAAACGTTGCAAATCATGCAAGAGCAAATACGAGCTTTCTTGGAAGCCGAGGTGCAATTTATTTCAAGCTTTTACTCGGTTGCAGCCATGGATGGGCAAACAGCTGAGCACCTTCAACAGGTTATTTGTAGATACACGAGTGATCGAATCTTTACGATAATGTGAGTGAGTTCTGCTCTTTCTTGCAGCTTCGTCTGGATTCCATTTTATTAGCAAAGTATTTCAAGAAAGTGTAGTGGGTCTCAAATCTGAACCTACAGATTTTAGAGCTCTTGGTTGTTATTGCTTTCCAAAAAAAAATAAAAAAAATGATTTAGTTCCTTTTTTATATCACTACCTCAAATCAATGCAAGATGGTTAGTGAAATTTCAGGGGCACGTCCTTGGGGTAATTTCAGTTTTAGTTAACTTTGAAAATACATAAATTTATAAAAACTGAGGAAAATATGGAAATATGTTTTTCTGTTCAATTTCAGAGAAACAGAGTTCTGAGGCAAGTAGACAATCGTATCTTCCAAATGGCTTCAACATTTTACTTTTTTTTTTTTTAACTAAATGAAAGTCGTGAAGAATATTGTTGTTGTATTTGGATATTCGGAAAATATTATGCAGGTGTATGGGGCATAATAGAGGATGGGAGGAGGCAGCTTCTATGTTATCTGGAACCCCTGTAGAACTGAAAACTTGCAATGCTGCTTTGTTAGAAGCAACTGGGAAATCATGGGAAGAGGTTCGATTTTCTTGATGTCCTTCATCTAATTCTATCTGCATGGATATTGTTTTTGTCCTCCGACTATGGCTATGTTTGGTAACCATATAAGCTAGCTTATAGCTTATTTAGTTAGCTTATAAGCTTTATGCATTCAAATAAGCTTCGTTTGGTAAGACGAGCTTTTTTAAAATGCTCGAGTCTATCCATAAGCTTCTTTGGGTAGCTTTTCAAATAAGCTCGTTAAAATTTTGATTTCAGTTAATTTTACCAAACGCTTAGCTTTTCAGCTATAAGAGCTATATGCTATAAGCTCGAAAATCATTTATAAGCAAGTACTTATTGATACCTTAGGTTTAACTTGGATTTTCGAGCGTAATTGCAAATCCTTTTATTTTGGTTAGAGATGAGAATGATGAAGAAAGAATAAAATTTACGATATCGATAGTTTGTTGGTTGGGATATGAAACGATATTTATATGACCAAGACCAAAGTTGAGTTGATGTAGAAATATCAAGGTTTTAAATAGCGGGCTAAAACGTTTATGGCACTGTAGCTATAGCGGAGCTATAGCGGAGATTTAGCGGGATTTAGCGGCTAAATTGCACATGAATACAAATAGCGGCACGCTACCAAAAAAAGCTATTTCTCAAATAGCGGCAACTTTAGCAAGCTATTTATTTCCTTGAGAAATATTACAATTTGTATCTCCATCTTAACATCATCTTTTGTTATTTTTCGAACACAGGCATTTTCGTTAGCAGGGTTTGGTGGTTGGAAACTACACGGCATTGTAAAACCCGACACGCAGGTGGAGGGAAGTTTTTGAACTGAATTCAATGTTTCACTTTCACATTTCATATACAAAATTCCATCACAGTCCTTCAAATCGCTGCAAGAGCTATATGAGGATAAATTGTTGGAAAATGCAGGAGCTCGTCACTATAAGTCCATTAGGCTTTACAGTGAAGGTTTCATTCTTGGAGATGATAGCCATTTAGGATTTGTATTTGCTCGGAAAAGTATGGGCACAAAAGGAGGGGGGGATGTAAATTGTTGTAGCTTGTTATGTTTCAGCTGGGGAATAACTGCAAAACATGGATCTTCCTGATCATGAATTATCATCAAGAATGGTTTTGGGATTTTAGAATATTTGTTAGATGGTCCTTTGACCACTAAATTTTGCAAGAACTATTGTTCTGAGTTTTGACAATGCACAAAGTTAAGTACTTCCAAAAACCGTCTACAACAAAGTGCTAACCTTAACGAAATCAATGTTCGCGAAAGAAAGCTCGTTCGAACTCGTTTGTGTTCGGCGAAAGCTCGTTCGAACTCATTCGTGTTCGACAAAAGCTCATTCGTTTAATAATCGAGCTGAGTTCGAACAGAAAAGTTCGTTTGTTTAATAATCGAACGAACACAAGCTCGTTTGTGAAAGTTCAATAATGTTCGAACGTTAATTTAATATAATTATATTTTTTTAATATATTTACGTATATTTTTAATAAAAAATCTAATATAAAAATATTTATGTATATATATATTTCTTTTATTTTCGAGTTCGAACGAGTTTGAACGGACAAATTTCGAGTTAATCAAACATTTAAATAGTTTATGTCCTAAATTATTCGAACACGAACAACCTTGGACTTTAACGAACAGTTAAACGAATGTTCTCGAACTCAATTTTTTGCTCGAAATATAAACGAACGATCTCGAACTCGATTTTTTGCTTGAAATATAAATGAACGAACACGAACAATGTTCGAGCGTAAACGAACACGAGCTCAAAACCCCCAAGCTCGGCTCGATCGGTTCGATTACAGCCGTAGTCAAAGGCAATTTGAGAATATTCATCTGCTCATAAAGAAAGATCCATGCACATGTAAAATTCCTCACAGAATGTAAAAATACCAATAGAGTTTCCATAACCTAATCAAGGTTTTGTGTAAATTTTCAAACACTAGATACTGCTACCATCACCTCCCTCAACCCCATTTTTTTTTCCGGACAGACGATCAAACTCCTTCCCGGTGAAGAAAACCGAGCGTGAAATTCGACTCCAGAACTGAATGGGAAAACTCCACCTCGGGCCTCGTACATTGTCTTTTCTCCGGTCGGGCCTCGTTTGGGCTCCCCACTGGCGAGCCCACACGGCGGCATTCAGAATCCGGGGTCAGCGGCTCGTGCCTGGAGGAAGATTCATCAGTCGAGAGGCAATTGGGCTGGGCCCGTTCTCCCATGGGCTTATCCGGAAAAGACGGTTCGGATGTTCTGGTGGGAGTTGACGGATCGGTTTTGTGGTCAGGTCCAGGGCTGCTATCACGCACTCCAGGTGCGGGTGATTCTGAAAGAACACCACTGAGTCTTTGCTGTTCTTCGATTATCTTCTTTAGATACTTCCCTTGGGCTTCTATCCGAAGCTGTAACTGTCTTTGAACCTGTACGGTTTTTATATATTCCAGACGGAAATCAGCCCTTTATGATTATCTTTTTCCTACATTGCGATTTTCTCCTGCTTATACTGTATATAATGGAGTAAAATCTTTGCCGGTAAAAGGTGAAAGAAAGAAAAGACTATATTATGCACCTCCAATTGCTCGTGTAATCGCTTTTGAACCTCCATCTGCAGCTTCAGCGTCTCGGTTATTTGCATCCCACTGCAAATCGTAAAGAACTTTCTCATATTAACAGCTTTAAGTTACATGACCATCATGCGCATTCATGACTAATTATAAAGAAAACGCGTAAATCAGGAACGATGATTTTACTTACGATGAACCGTCCAAATTGGAAAGCATGTCACCGGATTCTATCTTTTCAGCTTTTTTCCCTTTTAAATAAATAAAGACGAACATGAGTTAACTACACAAATGTGGAGGATAAATAGTTAAATAACCTTTACACAAAAGTCGCCAAATTGTATAACGAAGAAGCAAGTATATATAATGATACTTACCATCAGAAGAAGAATCTGGAAGATACTTTGCGAGTCGGTATTTCTGTTGGTGACGACAAAATTAAGAGCAAGACTTAAACGTATAAAGTTAACAGAAACTGAAAGGGATTTCACGATATATGTGCATATACCTGTAAGTGGCTTTTCACATGGTAAATCGTTAGGCCTTCAACTCCCATAACTCTAAGAACACCTTTAGGGGTAGCCCCTGGAATACAAAAGAAAAACATCATCAAAAGTTGTGTTTTCTAAACTTACTATATGAGCATAATAGTTAAAGCAACAAATTTGATTATCTCAATTACAAGCTCAAAATATCTCTTTTCCGAGATAACGCAAAAATTCACCAAAATATCCTTACATCAAATTTACTCTTTCCTGCCTCTTATATTTTGTCTACTCAGCAATCTCATTAACTAACATACTAATTTCTTTCCTGGTCTCAATTACAAAGCAAACTTGATTATCTCATTTACAAAGCTCATAATATTTCTTTCCCGAGATGACGCAAAAAAATCACCAAAATATCCTTACATCAAATTTACTCTTTCTTTCCTGCCTCTTATATTCGTTCTACTCGACAATTTCTCATTAACTAACATACTAATTTCTTTCCTGGTCTCAATTACAAAGCAAATTTGATTATCTCATTTACAAATCTCATAATATTTCTTTCCCTAGATGACGCAAAAAAATCACCAAAATATCCTTACATCAAATTTACTCTTTCTTTCCTGCCTCTTACATTCGTTCTACTCGACAATTTCATTAACTAACACATACTAATTTCTCAATGATATAAATATTTATAACGAATCGAATGCAAATTCTCTAGAATTATAAGTGAAAAAGACTCACTATCTGGCCCACCGAGTTGTGCTACAGCATCAACAAATTGCTCGTGAAGCTCATGTGTCCATCGAAGCCTTTGTTTTGAGGCCAAACTCGGATTGTTATTTGCATTACTGCCACTAACAATTTGATCCATTGAACTGCAGTTTACCAGCTGGCTTTGACCAACAGGTGCTGAGCTAGAACTAGGGACAGCTTTTTGTTGTTACATATTTCATTTATCTGTACAGCGAACAGAATCCGAAATTTATAAAGCCAAAATAGTTGAACAATACACAGAAAATGTTTTCTGATTACACATTTATCATTCAGCTATACACCACAAAGAGATGTTTCGAGCTGCAGTAAGTACTTTCAAACGTAAATGTCATACTCCCAAAAACAATATAAACAAAAGTATGACATTTCATAATATAATTATGCATCGTTGTCAAGAAAACAGTATGATGGGTCGGTCGACCCGCCTCACGGTTAGACCGACTCACACAAGAAATTGTGCTAAAGCAAATATTGTTCCTATCATGACACTATCTTGTGACAAATTAGGGTTCATCTCAATACGCTTCAGCCAACAAAAACAGCACACCATTAGAGCTACAACACACATCCTTAATTTTTTTTTTTTTTTTCTTCTCCACAAAACATCGAGAAATCTGCATTACATTTACATATCAAGAATCTACATACCCAGAAATCAAGCAAACGATAGCTGACCAAAAAACCCAAATCCAACAAAACCATGATAGAGCCCAGAAAACACACACACACACACACACACACACACACAAAATGTGACAAAAATTAAAAACGATGAACGGAAATGAAAATGCTTACACGATCTGAAGAAATCCACGGCCGCGATCTCTCAAGAACGCCGATGCTTTAGAGGGCTACAGTAAAATTAAGAACACAGATTCAAATGAATTTGGATTGGGCAAAACGATGAACAGTGAAAAAAGGAGCAGATTTTGAACTTTTCTATAAGAAAAACTCGACTTCTGGTGAATTTCGATTATTTTTTATTTATCCCTTTTGTTTCTTTATTATTATTAATTATTAAATACTCTGTTGATTTAATATAAAAAATATATTTATTTATCTTTTAATTTTTTTTTGGGTGCATTGGGAAGCGTGTGCAAACTGCAAAGTGAATACAATGCCGTTCGTGCAATGTCAAATCAACTTTTATTTATTTTTTTTTATTTGCGAAGTTTTAAAACATTATTGATTTTAGGATAATGATTCATATCTTTTTTTTTTTTTTTTTTTTTTTGGTGAAAGAGGCCGAGGCCTAAATGGTCCTATGCAAGAACTTGCCGAGATTACAATATCTCGAGAATATAGTGATGAAGCCAAGTGCCTATGTCTTGGTGGAGGAGAGGAGACGTGCTATAAACCCACATATGAGATAGACGTTAAGTTAGTCATATGATCGGTGGTAAAATAGGCCCCGATGCACGTGTTGCAGGTGAACAAGCCAATCCCAATGCAGCATATCTAACCTCAAACTATTTGAATATTTTGGTTTTGTAATTTAAAAGTTTTAGTAAAATGTAACTTCAATTTTATGAATATGGTGGCTTGGCAATTTCTCAATCTATTTTTGTTTTTTTTTTTAATCTAAACTTCAGTTTTTTAATTTTTTATTTTTAGAGTAAAAACTTTCTGAAAATTTTGATTGTATTTTATCAAAATTTACACTTTAAATTGTAAAACAGACAAACTCGGGTAGTTCGAGTTGTTATAAATTATTCTCTCTTGCTTTTATGAATTTTGTTATTAGATACTTAGATAAAATTCATAATATTTACTAAGATTCCATACACCTTTTTATCAACACAAGTTTTTGTGTGCCCAACTATTAAGCTCTCCACATGTCATATTAATACATTATTTGTGAATAATTGTAGATGACTCTATAAGTCGAGTCATTCGATAGTTCCATAGCGAAACGGTATACCATTAAATGTCATATTTATGTTTTTTTTTAAGTAACACATGTTCTAATAAAAGTATTCACATTTGTATAAAAAGTATGTAGTTTTAATGATTAATTCAATTTAATACAACCCCGACAAAACTGATTTATTAAATGAGGTGAAGGGAATGAAATATCATAATCACAATTCACAACACAATAAAAAGGGGACAATGACCAGCGACGGAATATTCAAGGCACATATTTTATATTCCTCAACCTTATTATAGGATTTTTTTTGTTTTTAAATGAAAAAAGAAACAGTTTGAGAAGGTTCAATTGACTGAAATGAATTTTTAGACTCGCGTTTTTATCGCATGCATTATATGAACGAAAATTAACCCGAAAACAGTAGGAAATCCTCTATCGCCTGAGAACATGTGGGGATTTCAAATAAGGTTCCAAGAAGAGCAAAGTGAATCTCAGATCGAGGGGTCGATTTAGGACCTCTTGGTTTGAGAACTTTTAGCAAAAGGGCTTTTCTATTATCCTTGAATTCTAACATCCACGAAAGAGTATTAGTGTCCAAATAAAGATTAGTTCTATGTTCTAGTAAAAGTATTAAATGCATAACTACAACATCAAATGTTGCGACTTGTCGAAAAACGTAAATATTCACCGGTATACTATCGGCGTTTAGGAACGCTTCGATTGATGATTATTGGTAGACATCGTTGAATTATTCAAGAAAGGAATCCTGTATACATATATTTTTCATAAAAATCTGATCACAAGAAGTTATCGGTAAAACTCGATTAAACTTTAAGGCTCATTTTAACCGAAATTTCAAAAATTTTAACAAGAAAATTAATTTTAATGAAGTTTGAGTTATGGTGTGGTGAAATTGAAGATGTTGGAGCAGAGTGTAGAATTTTAAATGATATATATATGATTAGTTGAAATTCACCATATGAATCTTCAATAATGTGTAAAATCAAATAAAAATAATGTTATAAGCTAAATTATTTTAACATGGCAGCACACAACATCCCAAATCAATTTTTCTTTAAAAATTAAAAATAAAAATTATTATAATCTATTTTTCACATATGTCAATCATATACATATAATCTTTGTTTGAATTAAAAAATTATTTCTCTATATAAACACATTATATCATATTGTCTCAAACATTGGAGATACTCTTAGCACCTTAACTAGTTGAAAACAATTAGGGTATTGAAGAATATGTAAATAAAATATATATTTAGATTATAAAAAATACTATGTATATTATTAAAGTCTCAACAGTATAACGAGAGGAGTTAACTATGAAGTGGATGAATGGTAGTTTTAAATGGAAAAGATGATTATTATTATTATTATTATTATTATTGTTATTATTATTATTATTGTTATTATTACTATGTGTGTGTTTATGTGGAATTTGGAGAGAAAATTTAAATGAAATGAGTAGTAACTAAAAAAAAAACACAAACTTTTATTTTCACAAAGAAGCCTAAAAAATAAACAAATACAAACACAACACACACACACACACACATACACACATTCAAACTGAGAAGTTCATCACAACAAATCAAACTTCACCTGTCTTTTGATAAAAGGAATATAACTTTAAGCTAGAAATATAAATAATAATAACAATAATAATAATCACATTTAGAGCAGAAACAAAATAACCCGAACATTTAATCTCTGTCACCAAAAAAAAAAAAAAATATCCA